AAAGAAAATTGGACATCTGACATATGAATCAGTCGTACTTAGCGTGTAGAAAAAAACTACATTTTGAATGACCAAGTTTGTGTGCCACATATTTCTACCGATAAATATAAATGCATTCATAAGCTTCAGGGAAACAGAAAAAACGTAAATTGAAAGAGTAGGAGTGATAATTTATTGGTACAAACGGCAAAAGCGATTTTTGCACGTAATTGAGGGTAATTGGCAAAGTTGTAACCTGTCTCAGTCGCTTTGGTTAAGTTCATCATAAAATTTAAGAATGACCGTGCTGATTTCGCTATCATTGGACAAAGAGTTGAAGATTCAGCTCAGCGAATGTAAACAAAACTTTTAAGTCTCCTTAAGAGGTGGAAGTGAATGGAGTATGACTCAGATATTGCACTACATATGTATGAATCAGAGACCATCGAACACACTCTAATGACGTGTGTGTACCACGACGAAATCTCGACTTATAAGCACGGGTGTACTGTTTTGGTCTAGTGCTTATTCATACGGCACATGAAATTTACATGACACCCATCACCTACCCATCACAGCGCACCTGAGAGTAGGCTAAACAGTTGGTAATAATCCTGAATGCGACTCTTTTTCTGCCTACCGGTTACCCCCAGTGACCCCGACTTTTATAAGTTGCGTTCAGTATGCATTTAATACTAATACATGTGGTAATCGTCAGCAGCTAAAACTTTGAACTTACAACCCACATCACCTGAATTCTTTCGCGTTCATTTAGGAACTGTCAGCCGGCAGGAACACTTTGGGAGAATTTTATACGATGATATTTGGTTTTAAAGGGCTTCCTGAATGAAGTGACTCTATGTTTATTGTTAGTGTAAAAGTTGATATGTTTTTTCTTTGATTAAATAATTGAGCTCTTACATTACTAATTGTTGAGATTCACGCCTTTAGCAGATTGTTTATGATATTAATTTGTTCTATATCACCGTCAGTTGACAAAAGCTTTTTCATTTACCATGCTAAATTGCTTTGCTAGTGCAATCCAAAAAGAGTAAGGGAATGTTAGACCCATAACACTTGTTTGGTTGCTTTATAATGAATCCAAAACAATTCTGAAAGCATTTGTAAAACATTTCATCCATTAGGTGCACTTTACAAGATATCATACAGCGCGGTTGCACTTTTAGCCTACCAGGTTTTGACTCGCTTGGTCAGCGAAACCCAATGGGGTCGTTGAACGAAAAGAAATTTCATAATTCGTTTGTTCTTACTGGGTTATCTGAGATTTTATCCATTGGATTGCATTGTACGTTGTTCCATTGCGTTGTGGAAATCACTTAAAAACAGAGTAGCTTCTTACTTATTCATCCCCAGTCCTTTGATTAAAACTTAACCCACCTACAAACAATTTTTCATTATTGGGTGATGTGCGTCTGTTATCAGTTTTCCATTTTTGTGCTAATAAACTCCAGGTTAATTAGTCATTTATAGCTTACTACTGTGGAACACAGTCCAACAATTGAGGCTGCTATAGAGCGGCACGAGTAAACTATACCTCGGTATGCTGAATATTATTTGTTTGAGATTTTTACTTCAACAGAAATTAATGAGAAGCGCAACATAATAAAGACTGTGATCGGTGTGGTCGACTTAACGGTAACTGCTGGATGTTTCTCCGAATACTCGTGTTTGGTGCCACTCTCATACGTTTCCCTTGCTGTTTACTAGATAGCTGATAGCATAACGGCAGAAACTAGTCAATCACTGTATACTTTGACCACCGAAACTGGTTTTCCGCAATTTAAAGAAACACTTCATATACCCATGGTAAAATTTTATTACGTCGGGGACAGCCTGTTATTATCACATAGCCAAAACATTGAATTGTACACGGAGAACTGTATTCCTTGACAGAGCAGCACAATATTGTGTTGTGACTCACCTCCAAAACTAGACTCAGATGGCCACAAAAGAACCAGTCTGAAATTGCAAAGCACCGGCCCAGAATCTTGATGGTCGTTTGAAAAAGCAACTACCGTTTGACTGGAACGACAGAAATAGATGTAAATTTCTGTGTGGAGTAGTCCAAAACCTTTGTTGCGTTTTTGGTGTTCATTCCTTAAAAAGCCATCATTTCTATCCATCTCAAAGCTTCCATTATTGAACTGTCTACTCAACCTTTATCGGCCAATAGGATAACAATACTATACGACTGATCAGC